TGGCCCCGTTGCCAAGGGCGCGCATCCCTTTAAGCTCTCGGGGGCTTCTCGCAAATTCGAGACTTTTCGAACACACGCGTCGCCGAGAGAAGTCCCCGAGGGATCCGTGACCGACAATTAAAAAAGAAACCTTAAAAAATGTTTGTAATAATAATAATAATTATTATTTAAAAATTATATTTCATGACAAAACTTGTGTTTAATTTAATGTAAGAATTAGCGTAACAGAAAAATTATTTATAAAAAAAGATACAGCAGTAAAAACTTAAAGTTACTGTATAAACTTATTATGGTGATTGGAAAAAAGTTGAGTATCTATTTACAGAAATATTAATTTTTAATAATAATTTGGATATGTTTATCTATAAATTAACAAAAAATTATGTTATTAAAAATATAAAAATAATTAATAAAAATTAATATTTCTTTAAATGTGTTTAAGATTGCTTAAAAGTTTTTATCAATATCGGAGTCAAAATAATAAAATCGGTTTTTAGCACTACAATTGCGAGCACCGAGACTCGAGCGTTCCTATTGCCGTGACTTTCGATGTGACAACCTAACGAATAAACAGAAGAAACAAAACGAACACGCGAAGACCATTCGCTCGATGCTTCGTTTCCAGTTTATTCGTTAAGTCGTCACGCCGAAAGTCACGGCGATAGGAACGCTCGAGTCTCGGTGCTTGCAATTGCGGTGCTGAAAACCAATTTTATTATTTCGACTCCAATATCGATAGAAACTTTTAAGCAATCTTAAACACATTTAAAGAAATATTAATTTTTATTAATTATTTTTATATTTTTAATAACAAATAATTTTTTGATAATTTATAGATAAAAATATCTAAATTATTATTAAAAATTAATATTTCTTTAAATGAATACTCAACTATTTTCCAATCACCATAATAAGTTTATACAGTAACTTTAAGTTTTTACTGCTGTATCTTTTTTTATAAATGATTTTTCTGTTACGGTAATTCTTACATTAAATTAAACACAAGTGCTCGGGGGGGTATTAATCGGTCCCCGGATTCGCGATTGGCCTGTATTAGGGTGGTTCGAAGGACCAGAGGGGCAATCCCCTCACGAATGCAAGCGAAATTAAATGCAAGAAAAGCGGGATAAATCAAGCGAAGCGACTCACCGTATCGCAGCCCGGCGCCCTCCTGGGATAGTCTCTCGGCCGATCTCGTCTGTCCTCTCTGGTGGCGAATCCTCCTTGATAGCAAGCGGGAGGCGTGCAGGCAGACAAGGTAGCGGGCAAGCAAGCAAGCGAGCAGCAAGCAACACAAAACGGGCAAGCAGGTAAAACGCCGTTCGAACGATTTCTTCGAGCACTCGACTGTGGCTGATACTCCGTCTTATCTTGTCGGCGATTCTTACGGGAGTGTCCGAGTGCTCCGGCACTCTCTCGGCTCGCGCTCCTGGAAGTACGGCGCAAACGAGTACTATTGTCCCAATAATTGGGCCTGCCACCCGTGGGCGGGCGGCACGAGTCGGGTGAGCCGCGCGAGTATTGACACCTGTCGCGGTCCGCCAACGTTTCGCGCGAGTCTCAAACCGACGGTAACTTTACGATTATGAGCTTACTGACTAATATACAACGAGTATCAAACGCGAATCAACCATATCAATATTATATACATGCGACAAACCACTATATTACAATTATATGCAAACGAGCGCCAACCAACAAGTCTTGTCATAAAATATAATTTTTAAATAATTATTATTATTACAAACATTTTTTAAGGTTTTTTTTTAATTAAGGGAAAAGTAGTATAGTATACTCTGATATTATTTAATCAAAACAAATTTCAAAGGTATAGTTTCAATGTCGGTTAATAATTGAAAAAAGTATACAAAATTCAAGTAAGTATTATTTTTAAATTAAATTGCGCCAATTGCAAAGAGATTATTATATCACAAAATTGTGTTATCAAACTCAATCCAAGTGATATGTACTAACCTAAGTGGTAGTAGCCTTATTTTTTCTTAACAAAATTATATCACAAAATTGCGTTACCTAACTCAACCTAAGTGATATGTTATTTCAAAAAAATATATGAAATCTTTAAATTACGCCAACTACAAAGAGAATATATATATTGCTTTGAAAAATAATTGTAGTGCAACTACTCTTAAAAAATAAAACAAAATTGTGTTACCTAACTCAACCCAAGTGGTATGTATCTTTGTATTCCTAAGGGTCTTTCTATCAACCCAAGTGGTAGTAGTTTCAATTCTCCTTGATAAAATTATAATATTACAAAGAATAATTTTAATCACAAAGAATTAAAGAGGTAACATTATAAAATAAAAATATTTAATTAAAATAAAATAAATAAATTTTTTTTGTAAAAAACTTGGCGTTGCTTTTTTAAGGTTATACCACTTGGGTTGAGTTAGGTAACACAATTTTGTTTTATTTTTTAAGAGTAGTTGCACTACAATTATTTTTCAAAGCAATATATATATTCTCTTTGTAGTTGGCGTAATTTAAAGATTTCATATATTTTTTTGAAATAACATATTACTTAGGTTGAGTTAGGTAACGCAATTTTGTGATATAATTTTGTTAAGAAAAAATAAGGCTACTACCATTTAGGTTGGTACGTATTATCACATGGATTGAGTTTGGTAACACAATTTTGTGATATAATAATCTCTTTGCAATTGGCGTAATTTAATTTAAAGATTTCATATCTTTTTTTGAAATACATGTCACTTGAGTTAAGTTAGGTAATATAATTTTGTGAAGGAGAAATTAAATATTACACATCTTTTTTTGAAATACATGTTACTTGAGTTAAGTTAAGTAATATAATTTTGTGAAGAAAAAATAAAGCTATCATTTAGATTGGATTTTTGAATTTACAAAATACATTGAGTGTACTTGGCGCCTTTTTTTACCTTTTTTGAAAAAGGTAATTTTGTACTGATATCATCCATTTTTTAGTGTTAAACAAAGATCTATAAAAAATTTTTATTTTTCATTTTTTAATTATTCACGAAATTAGCAATAACAACAAATTAAATTTTTATTGAATTAACAAATTAGTAATTAGTTACAAAAAATTACTATTTACATAAAAATTAATAATATTTAAGTAAAAGTAAATTATACATTTCTCACAAAAATTAAAAAAACACTAAATTTATCTTTAAAATTAAGCAAAATTCAAGCAGCTGTAACTTTGTTAAAAATGAACAAAATTTAAATTTAAAGCTTAAAACCTCTACTTTCGAAAGATTACTATCATTTTTTAGTTTCTATGTGTTTGATAACTTTTGCATATAAAAAACTACGAGCTGGACAAAATAGAAAATTTTTCTCTCACTTTGTAGGTCTGTCACGTGCACATCAAAAATCTGCGAAAATTTTCAACTTTCTAACGTGAAAGCTTAAAGTTTTCCTTGCAAAATCTTTTTTTGAAAATGTTTCTACGTTTCTGCGTTGTTGTTCTGTACAATCGTTTTCTGGGTCAAAATGAAAAAAAGAAAAATCGCTCATTTTTACATTATTTTCATCAATTTGTATCATATCTACATGTTATTTAAAAAAATTTGGCAATTATACCGTTTAATAGAGCAAAGTTTCAGCTTTAAGAATCTGTTTTTTAAATTATGATACGATGATTTCTAAGGGAGTTATGAGCATTCAAAGTCAAAATGCTCATTTCTTATTCAATTCGCGATAAATTAGTAACAAAAAATCGTAGAAACATTTTTAAAAAAAGATTTTGCAAGGAAAACTTTAAGCTTTCACGTTAGAAAGTCGAAAATTTTTGCACATTTTTTTTGTGCACGTGACAGGCCCACAAAGTAAAAGAAAAATTTTCTATTTTGTCCAGCTCGTAGTTTTCTATATGTAAAAATTACCAAACTCACAGAAACTAAAAAATAATAGTGAGCTTTCAAAAGTAGAAATTTCAAGCTTTAAAATACTTTTTTTAAATTTAAATTTCGTTTATTTTTAACAAAGTTACAGCTGCTTGAATTTTGCCTATTTTTAAAGATAAATTTAGTGTTCCTTTAATTTTTGTGAGAAGTGTAGGTTACTTAAAGAATTGGTAATTTGTCAGAGAAAAATATCTAGTTTGTGAAAGTTAGTATATAGGTGAAAATGAATTAATTTCTTTTGTAAACTGGTAATTAGTAGAAATAAATTCTTTATTATTAAAATTAAAATTAATTCTTTATTATTAAAATAATTAATAGATAGTTTATCAAAAATAAATTACTATTGTATTTATTTGAAAATTAATAATTAGTGGAAAATAATTATTAATTTTTTCAATAATAAATAAATAGTCTCACAAGGGGACGGTCGGAAGTGTCCCTACCCGATTTGGATGCGCTTTGTATATGTTGTTGAGCATCAAAAAATAGTAGACTCGTATTTTTTTTGGGGCCGTATCTCGACGTTTAGGGGTTGAAAAAACCCCTAAAAAATAACGACCAATTTGGACGCGCTTTGGCTATGTTGTCGAGCATAAAAAAACACTAGACACGGGTTTTTTTTGCTGCTTATCTCGACGTTTAGGGGTTGAAACAACCCCTAAAAAATAACAAATTTTATAGTTTTTAGCCAATATCTTCAAAAATATAAGGCGTATGAAAAAAAGTTTGGTACAAAAAATTTATGGCTTTTTGTGCTCTTTACAATGGCGTAATCATATTTTTCAAATTTGTCATATTTTTTAATTTAACCCCACCCTTACTTATTATTTTTGCCAAATATAACAATTTTTCCAACGCAAATTTTAGAGCGTCAAATGCCAAATACATCCATGTGTATTTTTATTATAATACCATTATTAGATTTTTGGCAAGACGAGATGATATGTGGTATAGGCGTCGCGCTGTAGGTAGGTGTTGCGTTATTTCTGTTCAGTTGCGCCGTACGCTTAAAAATTTCCATTTCAACTCCGGGATGACCGAAAGCGCTGATGCAAAGGCCAGCGCAAGGTACTGACAGCGAGAGGTTAATGCTATTTCGAGAGTCCTAGACTAGCAACGAAATGTCGACTCCGACATTATAAATACCGCCGAATTGTAAGATCGGGCGGGCAGTCGCAAATCATAATCTGAACGAACACGTGCGTCAAATTAACCGCTACAATAATATACTATCCCGGTTACGGCACAACAAAATCAACAACAAATTCACGCATTTGAATATCATTTGCTTGTGTCATAATTCCGAAAAGCAAGCATTTCAGATCATAAGTCTGAAGTGTAAAGAACTGTGTTGTACGCTGTCGTTTTGTGAACATGTAAGTGCATTTTTATTGTTAACTTTTATTGGTTTCTTACGCTTGTTACTTTTTTCTTTGATATTGAATATAACTTTTTATTCAGCTCTTACTCAATCTTGCCAGTCTTGCCAGTGACTATATAATCTTTTTTGTTCATAAAATGTCACGTAAGCACCTACTATAGTATATTGTGCATCAAGGAGAGAAAGCAGCGTTTTTCAAACGAGTGTGATTATATTTGGCAAAAATAATAGGTGGGGGTGGGGTTAAATTAAAAAAATATGACAAATTTGAAAAATATGATTACGCCATTGAGCACAAAAAGCCATAAACCTTTTGTACCAAACTTTTTTTCATACGCCTTATATTTTCGAAGATATTCGCTAAAAACTATAAAATCCGTTATTTTTAGGGGTTGTTTCAACCCCTAAACGTTGAGATAAACAGCAAAAAAACCGTGTCTAATGTTTTTTTATGCTCGACAACATAGCCAAAGCGCATCCAAATCGGTCGTTATTTTTTAGGGGTTTTTTCAACCCCTAAACGTCGAGATACGCCGCAAAAAAAAAATACGAGTCTACTATTTTTTGATGCTCAACAACATATCCAAAGCGCGTTCAAATCGGGTAGGGACACTTCCGACCGTTCCCTTGTCAGATAAATTATTTATATTAAAAATGATGGTGGCACCATCATAGAACTTATTGACCGATCTTTTTTACTTTCGCATCCGAAGTTCCACGAAAAAAATCTTGGACTCATTGTTAATATCCTTCTGAACAATGATTACCCTCTGGATCTTATTTTTAACACCATTTATGAACGTCTTAAAAGTCTCTTTTTTAACACAGGTTGTATTTTTGACCAAACTGACATTTATTCTTACATTAACTCGACGTTTCGACACTGGTTTTGTGTCCTTATCAAGAGAGTTGTTTTTTTTAAGACAACAAAAAAGCAAAATCTTGACGATACTTGTGATAGTAGGAAATGGTTTACGGTTCCTTTTTTTCCGTCCATCTCCGTTAAATTTAAAGATGTTTTTAGAGGTTCAGACACTCATTTAGCTTATTACAGTGTCAATAAACTAAACAAACTGATGATCAAAGTTCAGAAGGATACTTTACCGAATTTCGCCAAGAGCAATGTAGTTTATAAGATTTCGTGTCGTGACTGCGATGCTTCTTACGTAGGGCAGACTGGCAGACAGTTAAAG